GTACCACAGTGTTACGAGCCAGGCAAACATTGGCAAACTCTTGCTTCTTCTCAGGACAAATTTTCTCAACCATTTTCATCACGCAGTCTTTAATAAATTCACCCTCAGTGAAAGGTTTGCAGTGCTTGGCAATCAGCGTTGCCACCTCGTAGCTCGCCTTTGTGGCATTTTCATTTGACTCACGGGCTCTTGTGAAAAAGCGCTGCTGTGCTATTAAAACAGCTTCCAGTTGCTTCAATTTTTCGCCACGTTCGTTCCCAGTTAGCTTGTCATAGTTAGCATGTTTCGTCTGGTAGTGCCTCTTGATATTGAATTCCTTGAAAACAGCCACAGTCTCTTGGCAAATTAGGCAGACACAGTTGTTTCATATTTCAGTGAAAAAATACTGCAATTTCCACTTGTCCTGGAAGCGGCGGCCCTCGCTGTCAACTTTCCTTTTTTCAGTTACAGTCACCATGTCAGAAATGGGCCGGGCTGAAAGGATCACACAAGGGACACGGCGGCGAGAGTGCGGCCACGGGTCTACTGCCATCTTCTGGTGAAATGTAAAATAGCTTTTTTTGTACGCGTGTATTTTATACTGTGGTCAACAGTGCTGGTGGGCCACATATTATTGATTTTATGACAGAAGCTGCGGGCCGGCGAAAATTTGAACACGGGCCGCAATTGGCCCCCGGGCCGGACTTTGGACATGCCTGCTTTATGATGAGCACTCAAGCAGGAAAACTTTGTCAGCCTTTGATTTGTCAACCATATTTGTAGGGTGGCTCTGGCTTAAGAGGTAGAGTGGGTTGCCTCCTGGCGGTTCGATTCTTAACCTCTCCAGTGCACGTGTCAATTGCCCTTGAGCAAGACACTGCACTCCCAGTGATATCACCAGCGCGTGAATGTGTGTGTGTGCCTGGGAGTGCGAATAGGTGAAGGGGCAAATAGTGTGAAAGTGCTTTGAGTGTGCTGCAAAGCATAGAAAAGTGCTATACAAACTGTTTACCATTTAAATCAGTATTGGAAAATTTGTGACAAAGATGATGACAAACTGCTATAAATGCACAACAAATGAGGCTTCACAGGATGGATTTCCTTTCAGGCATCAGATCAGGTTGGAGCCGTTTCAGAAAAGAAAACAAAATCCAATTTAGTTTAAAATACACTTACTGTAAATTATAACTCTTATGACACTGTAGTAAAAATACTCTATTATTACAGTACAGCAATAAAGTAGTGGTGAAGTTTATGGAGCAGTTATATAAATCAAGATGTTACAGACATGTAGACTCACAGTTGTGCTTTAGTAAATCATTTTAATCAGTGGAAATAACCACAGAAATACCTGCAGGCCTTTAAGTCAGATTTTAAAAACAAGATGTGCCTGCTTCATGTCAGAGGTCTGTAGCAACACTACTCTATACTCCAGGCTGAACGACGTATGAAAGGATCTGGCAGATGTAACTCACCTTGATAAAACTCTCTGCTGCCTGTCGAGCTTCAGCAAGTGGCTGTGCTGTGAGAAAAGCTTCTTGGTGATCTAACAGACATGAATACAGGGTCAGGAAAATTACTACCAACTAGTATAGTCATTATTTACACCACCAAAACATTTGGTAAGAGCATGATCTATGTGAAATGGTGAAGAGATCCGAGTTTGGTACATAAAAAGATTTGACTTCACATGGTGAAAACCCCTCAGATGCTGGACTCTTGTCCTGGTGGAAATAATATTAATATGCAGTATTTCATGCATGACACTCTGCTGTGAGATGCTTTACTAAGGAAATGTTGGATCAATTCTTTTATTCATAAACTGTGTTGTGTGTTTTAATTATTCAACAGAGGATTTTGTTCAGTTCTTTAAACTTTTAAAACAGTCCAATTCCTGCCACCAAGTCTTGTCTTCAATTTTAGTCTCCTCTTTAGTGGAGAGAGAGTTTTATTTTGTCTTATCTTTGTGAATTCAAATTATATGTGTTCAATTTAAATTTTATTTGGTTCAACATCCATGGACAATCCTGCACATTACTGTCCAATTCACTTAGAAAATCCATTCTACACACTGTACAGTGTGTATTCAGCACACAAAGTATAGCTATCTCTATTGTTCATCTTATTCTCTTTTATTTAGTTTTGTTAGGTACATTAGACTGTGTTGTTTCTACCTAGATACTGCAGTTTTCCTTAGGGAATAAAAAGTACTCACTATCTCCCTCTCTTTATAGCCAACTTGCAAACTGTCTTTTTTTAAGTGTTATCACTGTACTGTATACATAAACATTTAAAAGAGAGAAAGCTGACCTGTGCCAAACAAAATGACATTGACTCTGAGGTCAGAGCCGAGGACTTTGAGGATCTGCAGGGCGATTCTCTGTGCCATGTGGAGAGACTCTCCCTTCATGGACTCAGACGTGTCCAGCAACAGCACAACTTCATTGGATGCTGAACTAGAGCTGATGTCAAAGTCCGGAAAGAAAACCAACATGCAGGCCTAGGGAGGAGAATGAAAGATTAAATGTGAAAACTAACTGAATGAGAGAAAGGGAAATAAACAGAGTGACTGACCTGGCTGTCCTTGTCGGGGTGCTCCTCCACCCACATCCTGGGCAGGTGAACCTCAGACAGAGTAACTGACAGCTGGAAACCGTCTGGGCCCATGACCTCTCCTGGCAGCACACTCACCACTGCCTTACAGTCTGTTCTCTGTGGGAGCACACACACACAGGTGCATACAGAAAGGAAATGGGACAAACGTAATGATAGAGAGACAATTTAATGACAAATCCGCATCTAGTCACTAAAGAAAATGTCTGATACAATAAAACACAGACAAGCAGGCATATATGAGTGAAGCTGTAAGAAGCAGAACTTGAGTATTTTGGTATAAGAAAAAAAAAACTAAAATGTTACGATTATGTTAATTACAAATTCTCAGCTGACAGATTTCTCACTTTATTCAGCATGTAAACATGAGGTGGAGCTGAACTGTATGAAGGAGTGAACTTTTTTGCAGCGCAGAGGCTGTGACACAGCTTCAAACAAAACTTTTTCCAAGTTCATTTGGAATATGGAGGCATTCTAATTTAATTAGTAATTTAGTAGACAAATGTCAACATTTTTCAAACATTTCAAAATGTGTCAAGTTCAGAACAAAACTTGCACATTTGCAGACTTTTCCGACTTGTGTAGGAACCCACTAAAACAGAGAAAACAACTGACAACCATGTAGCATCTGCCTAATTAAAATATGATTTATAATACCTGGAAACAGCCAAATTACCTTCATTTTGATTTTGTGAGTAATGCACTGCAGGCTGCTGATTTCATAGGGCATTTCAATTGACATGTCGAGGGTGAACTCCCTGTGCAGAGGAAACAATGCATTTTACACAGAGGAGGACACACAGGCAAACACAATTTTCCATCCAAATGTTTTACGTGATACCGTTTCACTACACTACACCACTGAACATTTAGTATTAAAAATGGAGTCAGATTTCATTTGGAGTCAAAATTAAGCTAAACCAATACCATAAAAATAGTTTAACACACCCCTCCTTGAACCACCGCCTTATTGTGGTGGAAGGGTTTGAGTACCCGAGTGATCCTAGGAGCTATGCTGTCAGGGGCTATATGCCCCTGGTAGGGTCTCCCAAGGCAAACAAGTCCTAGATGACGGGTCAGACTAAGAGCGATTCAGAAAGCCCTTTATGAATAGTTTAAAATCAAGGACCGTGACGTCGCCTGGCATGGCGCAGCCAGGGCCCCACCCTGGAGACAGGCCCGGGGTTGGGGTTCGAATGCGAGCGCCTGGTGGCCGGGCCTTGCCTTACGGGGCCCGGCCAGGCTTAGCCCGAATGAGCGACGTGGGGACGTCCTCCTGTGGGCCCAGGAGGATCCGTAAGGGGCTCGTGCACAGTGGATCAGGCAGCAATCGAAGGCAAGGGCCCTGATGACCTGATCTCTGGACATGGAGACTAGCCCTGGGGACATGGAATGTCACCTCGCTGTTGAGGAAGGAGCCCGAGCTTGTGCAGGAGGTTGAGAGGTACCGGCTAGAGATAGTCAGGCTCGCCTCCACACACAGCTTGGGCTCTGGAACTTTAGTCCTTGAGAGAGGCTGGACTCTCTACTATGGAGTTGCCCACGGTGAGAGGTGGTTGTTTCATCTGTCCTCTGGCTGTATGTCTTGGACACTTGGGTAAAGAGAGGGGCGGAGCTGTCAACTGATCACCACCTGGTGGTGAGTTGGATCCGATGGCGGGGGAGGAAGCTGGACAGACTCGGCAGACCCAAATGTATTGTGAGGGTCTGTTGGGGAGGTTTAGCAGAACCCCACTGTCAGAGATCTTCAACTCCTACCTCTGGCAGAGGTTTGACCAGATCCCGGGGGAGGTTGGAGGCATTGAGTCCGAGTGGACCATGTTCTCCACCTCCATTGTCGATGTGGCCGTAAGGTCTCCGGTGCCTGTTGTGGTGGCAATCCCTGAACCTGGTGGTGGACACTGGAAGTAAGGGATGCCGTCAAGCTGAAGAAGGAGTCCTTTCGAGCCTGGTTGGCTCGTGGGACTCCTGAGCCAAGCGGGCTGCAGCGAAGGCAAAAACTCGGGTCTGGGAAGAGTTCGGTGAGGCCATGGAGAAGTACTATCGGTCGGCCTCAAAGAGATTCTGGCAAACCGTCCGGCGCCTCAGGAGGGGGAAGCAGTGCCCTGCCAAAACTGGGGGAAGCAGTGCCCGCTAAAACTGTTTACAGTGGAGGTGGGCAGCTGTTGACTGGATGGTGGAAGGGATGGTTTGAGGATCTCAACTCCGGCATCACGTCTTCCGATGAGGAAGCAGAGGACAGGGGCTCGGAGGTGGACTCATCCATCACCCAAGCTGAAGTCACTAAGGTAGTTGAGAAGCGTCTCGGTGGCAAGGCACCGGGGGTGGATGAGATTCGCCCCAAGTACCTAAAATCTCTGGATGTTGTGGGGCTGTCTTGGCTAACACACCTCTGTAACATCACGTGGCGGTTGGGGGCAGTGCCTCTGGATTGGGAGGCCGGTCTCTCTTTTCAAGAAGAAGGACCCAAGGGTGTGCTCCAACTACAGGGGGATCACACTCCTCAGCCTCCCCGGGAAAGTCTATGCCAGGGTACTGGAGAGGAGAATTCGACCGATAGTTGAATTCCGATTCTCACCTATGATCATGAGCTTTGGGTCATGACCGAAAGGGCAAGATCCCAGATACAGGCAGCCGAAATGAGCTTTCTTCGCAGGGTGGCGGGGCGCTCCCTTAAAGATAGGGTGAGGAGCTTGGTCCACCGGGATTAGAAACA